CACCCTTCTCTTTTGTTGCACTTTTCTATTTGGGATTAATATATTTTTAATTTAAAAGAAAATAAAAAAAAATCAGCTTTATGGTGTTTGTAGCATTGGATTATTATAATACGATCGTTTTGACGTGCACATATATTATGCGATGTCAAATATAAACTTATACACGCATATGTTTATAAGCATCACCTCATCCCCCCACAGTTGACAGATACCTCAATCCATTATCATGATACTACTGCTAGTACCAGTACAACTCCTCAAATGAACGCAAAATCTTTCGGCGAGTGAACTGAAAGTGCTTTCTTGTGGTTTCCTTTAAAAAAATGGACGGAACCTGTTCAAACATGCATCTTCCATTACATATGTAGATTTAAATAGTATTGTTGGCATTAAAAAAACTAAGCAAATAACTTTTTTCTTCATTATTTTATCGATAACACACTTTATCTTGAAAAGTGACACACAATGAAAATTTTGCTGAGAAAAAAAATCAAAAAAAAATTATTTAGTTTATTTTTTAGAATAAATCCCATTTGTAAACGCTTTCAATGGAGTATTTTTGTAATGTATTGATTAAGTGAATGCAAATTAGCCCTTTTATTATTGTAATTAAATGTCACAGCTAAAAAAGACTTAGATATCTTGGATTTAAGTATTTTTGGAACCAGCTATCAATTTCACCAATGGATGTTTTCCAAACAAAAAAAAATCAACACTATTATTAAGCCCCAATTTTTATGATTTTCACCCCCATTTTTGGATTCAAACGCAGAAAAAATGGCGGTAAGAGTCCTTGGGATGTTATTGACAAGTAACAGAAACCAATGTATGTTTTATTTGAGTTAGGAATATATTTTTAGCTTTGCTTATGATTTTTATTGCTTTTTGGTGGATGTGTAATTGAATTGATATCCTCACTATTAACCGCATACAAATCCAATCATGTATGTGTTTAAAAAAAATGTGGTTGCCTCGACTTCAATGCTTGGCAATCGCAAAAAATGAACCTATACATATTGTAATCATAAGATACTTTTCAATCGTAGATAACAGATTTTTTTTTTTTAAATCAATAGCCAACGTTTTTAATGAAATTAAACGTAAAAAATCCAAATGAAAGAATATAATCATCACCCGTTTTTATTTCGTAAATTGTTTTCTCTGCCTATTTTTCCAAAAAAAAATAATGTCAATATATAATAAAATATGTATAGTTACGTAATCAATTAGAATAATTAAATGGGTGAGAATTTATCCTTGTATCCATAGTTGTTGAAGAAAATGGGACTTAAATAAAGTCACTTTGCAATGGCCAATATGTGCGCCGAATCTATGTAAAATAAAACCTTTCTTTCTTCAAACAATTTTGGATTACATTGATTTTGTTTCCGTTTGCGCTAAAAAAAACACACTGCTGACAATGATAACGCCAACGATACGAAATCAATTTGAGCCCATTTCTTTTGTGTCGAGTTTTCTTTCTAATGTTACTGCAATACATTGTATGTTTAGGCATATGTTTTATATCAACACACATACACAATTTTACGCATTTATACATAGTTTGAACAGCCTACCAGCAAACCGTGAATATAACTATTATATTTTTAGTAAAAAAAAACAACAAAAACCAATAAATAAGCGATTTTCTGTTTTTTGATAATAAAAAAAAATTATTGCTAATAAATTCCTTTCGTCTTCTCTTTTTTTGTCGTGTTCTTTTTTGTTGTTGTTGTTGTTGTTGTTGTTATTGTTGTGTTTTCTTCTTCATCACCATCCAATATGTAAGTAGTATAATTGATTTTTGTAATTACATCTCACAATTTTTGTATCGCTCAATAATACTAACTTTTGATTTTTGATTTGTTTAAACGAACACTCCAAACATTTTCCGTAGATTTCGCGCTTTTTTAAAAATATTACTGGAAATGTTTGCATTGATTTAAGCTTGAGATGAAAATATAACTTAATAAAAAAATTGATACATCAACATCGTGATTATCCACAGAAAACATGTTGATTTTCATGAAAAAACATTCTGGCATCGGTAGCACTTTGTTGCAGCACGCTTGATAGGCATTCTCATTACATTAAGTTAAGTGCGGGATTTAGATTTAAAAAAAAATAGACTCGCAACATTGATCAACTCCATGGGTGACATAGATTGCAAATTAATTCAATAAATAGAGGTTTTGGTAAAGGAAGACGTGCAAATTAAAGAAAAGAGATACATGATTTCTTTTCGTTTTGCTCATGCTCCAATCATTATTATTGATATTTTAACTCTTTGAATAAATCGCAAAATGTATGTAGCCCGCATAATTTGTAAATAGAATTTTTGATGAATGTGTCTAACAAATAATACATTTCTACCAATCGTGTGTTTGTATAATTTGAATGAGAATACAAAATTTAAAAAACAAAAATACATATAGCATTAGAATTGATATTCAAAGACGAAAAATGATTACAGGACATTCACTCATTTGTAATGATAACAGTATCTAAGTGTATAGCAAAGCAATTTATAATAACGAATGGCTATTTCAAAATTTCAAGCATCATAATAAGTTCCAACTGTGTTTGAAATTGTAATTTATCACGTAGAATTATTATGTAATACATCAACATCGCAAAATCTTGCATTGTGTAGCTTGAGTGTTGAGTCTTTTGCTATTCTATCGAAATAATTCCTTGCCGTGATTTCAATATCAAAATGATAAAGACAATATATATGTAACACAATTGTATGTCAATTCTTAAACACCTTGCTTATCTATCACTCAAATCCGCTCGTGCAAACGAGGCACCAACAATCCATCATCCCCCCTATCCAACTAGGAACAAGTATAATTATTTTTCTACTTCTTTAATGTTTTCTTAAATAAACATGCAACCAAAACAAAGTGTATTACAGAATTTTTAAGCAAACCACAACAAAATAGAACATTAAGTAGCATGATGAATTTTTAACATTTTCCAGCATTTGTCGCAAAAATAATTTATGGCTTTTTTCAAGAATACTTGCTCCTTTTTTTAAAAAATAATAATAAATAAATACAAAATAACTATAATATGATTGACTATCCAATCATAACAATTCGCGTCTATTATATCGTGTTTTCGATACAAAAATAAAATAGAAATTTACAATAAAAAAAAATTCATTAGACATTTCCACTTGTAATGTGAAAATTAATAGTGACTGTTTGATGTATGATAACTGTTTCCATTCTATTCGAAATACATGTTTGGTCATTGTTGCACTCTATTTAAATATAAAAAAAAATACAAAAATAAAAGGCCATTTATAAGATTTTATATAAAAATCAATGAACGCGACGGAATGATAGAGAATATATTATAAAATATTTGCCGTCGAAACTTGTACTGTTTCCAATCAAATTGAGGCGTTTCTATCAACGATATTGAAGACGATAAGATATTATTAGGACGAGACTGAGATTTTCAATTTGGTGATTGGGACTTTCCGCGCGGGTTTGGCCACACAAATTGATTTTGAGAGAACATAAATACCGTTTAACAATTAAATCGGCAAAATTTGTGAACAAAATTTACCCTCCCGGAAGAAAAATGTCATTTCGTTGATTTTATATTTCTATTGTATGTTTGATTTTCTGCATTTTAAGCCTTAAGACACGATTGTGTCACATTATAGAAATCTTTGTGTGGCTACCTGCACGGAAGTTGATTGATGCGTGATTAATTTTGATGATGAAATTTAGGCATCGTATGACGATATTGTAATTCGCTGTTTTTTGTGTGTGTTGCTTGTTCATCATAACAAAATAAAAAGAGTAAATACTGGCATAAATATTCAAAGACAGCTTAAATCTGATGTGAATTTGCGTTTTAAAAAGTTCGTTTGTTCTCAAAACACAAAACTAGGAGATAACCAAGAACAACATTTGTAGTTGATTTCATTTTTGAATCCGTAGCTTACTTCAATCGAACCGAATCAGCGATGCTGATGACGACGACAGCATTTTATAAATCTTACAAACTGTCGCACACTTACGAAATAAAAACCCAAAGCAATTGCAAACAAATGATGTTCAATATTCAAATGCTAAATAGACATGGCATATAATATTATAATCATAGAAAAAGAACCAAACATTTCATTTTTTTATACATCAATGTGTGGTTATCGTACTCTTTTCACATAATCTATGTGTACTTTCTTTTGCAATAGAATCAAACATCTGATAATAACCGCAAGGAAAAACCAAAATGAAACTTAGAAAAGAGATATTTAAAACAACAACAAAAAAACACATTAATAATAACATGATAGGCATATTTGTGAAGGTATTCTGCAGTAAAAAAAACCAATATTATACAATAAACCGTTTGATTTGATTGGAATGGTGTTTCATTTACATTTTGTTTCTTTTTTTCATATCATAAAATGGTGAGTAAATGCTTTAAAGATAAAACAGATTCTATTTTTACATATACAATTTTACTGAAGCAGACAACGTCATTACATGGTGAGTGTATGTAAATTCTTGGTATCAAAACAAAATGCCGAACGGAACATTTGTGAATTGTAAGTAATTGTCACATCATTACTCATTATCACACCACATGTACATACGTTATTGACGGTCGGAAAAAAGGTAAAATAAATACAAAATTAGTCGATGTGGTAATTCAAAATCATACTGAACTGAAAATATCATAAATAACGTTATTTTTATTACGGCAATTGTTCATAGTATCCATAGAAATCAGTATCGCCATGACTCATATTCCTTAATTTATGTGACTCACATAAATGTGAAGTTGTTGTGAAGTATACATTAAATGTGTGTTATAAAGACACGATGGTGGCGCTGTCTATCGTCATTCCCTTCTACTCGTTGATCGCACAAAGCATGTTATGCGCTTGCACTCTAATGAACGGAATCAAGTAAAATATATATATATATATGTAACCTGTCAAAAATGTTTGTCTTTTTTTCCTGTCTTCGCATAGCCGTCAACACTATCAGTGAATTTAAGAGTGTTAAAAACGCACATAGAATGGTGTAAACACGCTTCAAAAAGCTCATTTCATTCGATTATTTAGAATTATTGTATAATTGTTTGTTGGAGTTAATATTGTCTCGGTCGACTTTCGAAATAATTTTATTCATTTGGAATCTATTGAATATTTCAAATTAATATTGAACAAATATTAAATTTTTTGCACAAAAGTGAATGAATTGAAATGGATAGACCGGAGTGTATCATTGATGGTTGCTTAACCAAGACGAGAAGGATTAAAGTGAAAGATGTTATTTATTATTTGTAAGAAATTTATATATTTTTTTCTTTTTTTTTAATTTATTTATTGCTCTTTTTTATTTATTGATTGATTTTTACTTTATTGTCAAACTAGATATCCGACCGATGAAGAGTGGGCACAAAAATGGGAAAACGTAATTAAAAAAAATGATCCAACGTATCAACGCAAAAAACAAGATATCGTTTGTTCTTTACATTTTGCAAAGTCATCGATGCAACCAGGTAAAAAAATATGGCAAAAAAATTTATAGACATCTTTTTATATATTTTTTTTTTGTATTTGAATCACCAGTGACACGCCAACTAGTTGACCATTCCCTGCCAGTTTTTTTCCCACGAAAATGTACAAATCCGCAAATTACAAGCAAGCCAGAGGCAAAGCCAACGAATACAAATGCAAACACCGTATCGCACATCGAAAAGACTGTAAATGCATCATTATCAAAATGCTGCGTTGATGGCTGCAAAACCGAATTCCCAAATGATAATCCGAAAATTAAAGGCTTTGAGTATGTATAAATATTGAAATCAATCATTGATCTTTCCGAAATTGACCGTATTCGGTTTTTCCCATAGATTTCCCAAAGATGAAGAGAAACAAAAAATGTGGATGTTTATGATTAATTTGTATAACAACGCAAGCATGGAATGGAATGAATCGATGAGAGTGTGTGCGCTTCATTTCAACAGTAAATCCATCGAAGGCGACGTATTAAAAGACGACTGCAAACCATCAATTTTCAAAACAGGAACTGAGAAACGTTACATGGAAATGTGAGTAGTCTGATTTTCTGTGAAAATGTTTTATGTGGCATATACGTATTCATTTTGTCATTGATTTTTTTCCTTTAAAAAGTATACAAGAGCAGTCATCAAATAAAAAAGTGTCACCGATGAAAATACAAAGTATAAATGTTCCATTACACAAGCAACAAATTGAAAACCATTCAATGACACGTCGATGTGCTCCAGCAACAATTGCTACTCGTCGCCTAACATTGGCACAAGGTCAAATACCGCAACTTCCGCAACTGATCCCAAAGCCAACGTTGATAAAACGAACGAATGAACATCAATTAGACGAACAAAATATTGCGAGAAAAGTGACGCGATTAAGCACACCAAATGATAAGTCTGCTTCGCAAAAGATAATAACTACAATGTCTGTGTCAAATTCACGACCACTTCCAGCTTTGAATAAAGTATATACAGCGGTTACCACCGCAAATTCTCAATACCGGAGTGCTCCCAATTTGAATAAGTCAGTGCCAACGCTGATGACGAAAAAAGTTCAAATTACAAAGCCCACTACGATTAATAATGGAACCGCAAAATTAATACCGATATTAAAACAAGGTACAGCTCACATAACACGATTGCCGCCACAACTGAAACCGGCACCACGATCACAGACTGTCAAAACATATGTTTCTGTTCCGGGTTCTGCTCCGAGAGCGGTTTATTTAGATAAGACTATACCAACGATAACTAAGGTGCATAGTGCCCATAAGTCGATAGCAAATGTGAAAGAAAGCAATACAATAGTTGCGACAAAGTCAAAACCACAGGAAAAAACGGTATCCGTTGATACGCCCAGTCAAAATGTTGAAGCCGATCAAGATATCATGTATGTTTGTTAGTTATAATCTAAATTTATTTTATCTTTTTTTTTTACTAATTTGACTTTATATCCGCTTTGCAGTGTAATAGAGGATGAAGATGCAGAAATTGCCAGAGCACTCAAGTCATCAGATATTGAAACTAGCTCTGCGGCACCAACGACAAGTAGTAAAGTATCCGATACAAATGGAGTACAAATGCAACAATACGTGATAGATGAGTCTAGATTCGACTACCCAAGGAGGCTATTAGAGCGAATTAAAGAGAAAAAGCGACAAAACAAAGAACTTGCCATTAGTATGAACAAATGGAAGAAAATTGCAATGAAAATGAACCAAGAATATCGATTGCAAACGGCAACCGTGATCAATGAAACGATTGATATTTCTTAAGCATTTGAAATTAGGTAAATCGTTCCGATTTTATAAAAGAGTGAATAAAATGAATTTACAAAGTCTCTATAAAAAAACAATTTCCATCTTTATTTTTGTGTGTGACCAGTTTTCTTCATTTTCAATCATTTGTCCTGTTTTATGCGCATTTCAATTGCTGCAAAGGCCTTTTCTCCAGCATCTCCTGGCAGTTTAGTGTCGCAATAATTTTTGATACGTTTTAAATAAATATTTTTTCCCGAATATATGGCTGCCAAGGTGAATAGCTTTAGATCAGACTGGGCTCCAATTTCAGTCATTTCGTTTATTCGAGCCTTAATCTCATCTAAACTCTTATTTAAAATAAACAAACTATTTGTAATATCATTGGCCGTGAAATTCGTCTCATTCAAAATGTAATCCAAATGTCCTTTAATCTGTGAAAATGAGTAAGCCGCAAATGTTACATTTGAAAAGAGCTCGGTTTATGAATGAAAATACCTTGGACAAAGAAGATTTATTCAATTTGGAATATTTATGTTGAGCAAATTTGAGGTTGGCTGACGTCCAGTTCAAACGATGCGCCAGATAATGTAGGTTATCATCAAATCCTTCAAGTAATTTCTTTTCTCGCACATAGGTCGATGTCATCCTGTCAAATATAAACATGACATGAGTTTCGAAAAATGCATGGCAAATTCCATTAACAATAAATTATGTCACTTTTGCTGTTTCAATTACCTTTTCAGTTTTGCGGTATTACATTTCGGGATCATCCATGATGAAATTATTTCAAGTCCATCATTCTTGAGCTTGCATATTTTTTTATCAATTTTGTCTGCACTGTACTTAAACGTATCTTTATAATTAAAAATACTATCCTTATCAACGTTATGCTTCATAAGAACATCCAATTTTCGGTCCAGCTCACATTGGTCGAATCCGATATAGTTTTGAGCAAAACGGGCAGCCACCACACTGACTGGCATCTAAAAGAAACAAATTTTAATTTTCAGATACTACTTACAGAAAAATAAATGTGAGAAGGAGCGACGAATGCGAACCGAAAAAAGAAATCAGCTCATACTTACATTCAATTTCTCACTAAAATAATAAATCGGGTGATTTTTCGCGATAGTATTATGCGTTTTAAGATGACATTTGTAACTGTTTAATTCACTTGTCGGCACACTCAAAAGTGGAATGAAATCATTGATATTCTTTGGCTCCATCTGTTTCAAAATGTCAATCTTTGTCTTGATTTCGTCTAAAAAAACATCGAAAAAGAAGTTGAAAAAAGTGAAAAATAAATACAACGGAAATATTCTTACCAATTGGCATTATAAGCAGAAATCCATTTTGTCTGATTGTTTCTAAATCAATTTTTATCCACGACAAATACTCAATATTACTTTTTACGGTCTCCAATTTATTGATCTCATTCACATAATTGTAGTAAAGTTCAATTGTCTCACACTCATTCGTTTGTAAAAAGTATTTCAGTGAATCGATAATTTTAATTTCATCGTCGTTGCTCTTTTTCATTCTGCTAATATTTTTGATTGGTTTTTTCTCTATGCCGTTCTCTACAATATGTTTTTCAATCAATCTACACAAATATAAAAGAAAAACGAAAAAGTTTATCGTGACGTTGTGTGAAAAAAAATAATTTTCGAATAAATCCTACTCATTAAAATCCGGTTCGGCAAGAACAAAATAGGAAATTTTGATTGGAAGGTTGACTGAAATCATGCGTTCGAAACGGCGAATAAAAATGTCATCATTATATCGAAGAATATAAAGGCCATAAATGTTATTGTTGGTAACAAAATTTATGCCATAGTCCAGAAGTATTTCCAATTTTTTCTTGTAATTTTGAAATGAGGAGGGAAATATTTCGAAGCCACATTTGGCACGATACGAAGAGATCACTTTTGGTTCGACCTGAAATTGAATTTTCCGATTAAATTTAAAAGCAGTCATGATTCATTGGAGCAATACCTTCAACTTTTCGCTCAAGTAATAAATTCGATTTTTCTGTTCGATTTCATCCCTTTCTATAACCAATCGGGCGATAAGTTTATTTAGTTCATCGTCATCCATATTCAAAAGTGGGAAAAAATCGTCCAATCGTTTTGGATCCAGTGAATGTAGAAAATTTATCTTCTTTTCTAGGTTATCTAATTAGAAAATAATCGAATTATTATCAATTTATGTAAAAACGTCCCTTTTCAAAATTCAAACTCACTTGCATCAAGTGTGGCCAGCCTTGGGTTCTCAATAATCGATTCCCGCGATACTTTTGAGCGGAGAAATTCCAGAGTATCGTTTTTAATTGCGTCAACTGAACGTAACGATGGAAATTCATTGTAAATATTCTCTGCAATTGTGGTAGAGCATTGGAATTTCTTTCTTAAATTTTCTATAATATCGACTTTCTTTGGTTGCTCTGCAACACTTTGAAAAAACTGCACAATTATTGGTAAAGTTAAATGTGGATATCCAATCAATTTTGAATTATGTAAAACAATTTTATTGAATATATTAAACCGATTCATTGTAAATGTAGATTTGTAATAACAAGTCTGTTCATTTTCAATTAACCAAAAGCAACGTGATATGACATCTGTCAAAGTGGCCACTTAAAATGTATTAGTTGTCAAAGTATACATTATACACACATGCACAATGAACTGTCAAAATGAAACACAACAACATCGTAGCAAAAAAAAGTGGTTTGTTTATAATTGCTGGATGCGGACAGAAAAAAATACTATTTGTAGACATATGAAGGAAATAAGAAGAAAACACCTCGTTGGCACCAAACTTTATATACTTGTAAACACGCAATATCGTATAACAGCGCAAAAGGCTTGTCATAAAGAATCTGCCGGGCTAATGTATTTTGGTCAGTTTTGTTTACATACAAACAAACCGAATAATTTATGGTATTATTCAAAACATATTAAAAGTACAATAGCTCAAAGTCATGTCGATTTTCATGCGGATCATATGAAAAAATATTGAATTTTTACCGATTTGAAACTGTAAAATAATCAAAGATTGATATATTTACGTATTTCTGCTTGATTTGTGTTCAGTTTTTTGTTTGGCCACCTTCCGATCACGTCCAAGGACATGCATATTTGCGTCTGGTGCCTTCTTTGGTTTGTTGACATTTGATACTTCGAATCTCTTCAAGCCGTTTGCATAAAAATATCCGCGCTTTCTTCCGACGCAATTGAGCATCAAAATTGCTTTTATAGATGAAGAAATATTGCTGCGGCTAAAATTAGTTGGAAAAAACATTGTTTCAACTTGTTTACAATAACATGAGCGAATGGAAGGAAAAAAATGCGCTCATCAAGCCAGTTGGACTGTGGGCGTATGCAATATATAAAAGGGATCGCATTGCTCCAGAGAGAGTCAGTATTCGATTCCGAATCAATTGTTTAACAAAAACGTTCACATTGTTTGCTCTGTGTGTCAAGAAATAAAAAAGTGCAAGAAAAGAAAATGTCATCTGCCAGACCATACTTTTTTGAAGAACACTTTCCTGCAAGCTATTACCTTCCCTTTGCGCCACCCATTCAACGTCATCCGGGAGCATTGAATTATCCAAGAGAAGAATTGGAGAAAGGGCACTTTGATAAAGATGGCTATCATGTGTTTGTGGATGTAAAAGAATTTGCTCCGGAGGAGATTTCTGTTCGGACTATAAATGAGACAATTATTGTCGAAGGGAAACAAGAGAAGCGTCCAGGCAGTGGAATTCCTCGACATTTCGTTCGGCACTTCAGATTGCCAGAATTTTACGATAGTGAGGATGTTTTTTCAAGCATTTCGGACGATGGCATTTTGGAGATCCGTGCTACACCAGCCCATAAAAAACGCTATCACCGCAATGTAGCCGTTAAAAAAGACGATGAAAAATAATATATCAACCGAAATATCAAAGTAGTTTTGCTGAAAAAGTGTTTTGTGCAAAAATATAAAATGTTTCACATCATTTCGATGTTTGTTTGCTGAGACTTGAGATTTATAATTATACGTTTTTATATTGTTTCGTAATTGCTTGATATTATGATGTTTTAATGCATTTTCTGTTATCTTTAGTATGTTATCTTCTGTGTCTCAGTCCGAAATGTATGTGTTCAGTAATGTTTTAATGGTCCCTATCAATTTATATGCAACAAATGTTAACAAAAATGCACATTTTTCTTTGAATAAAATTTATAAAATGTAATTCATAAGTTTTTTATTTTTCACAATAGAGTTTCTACTGAAATTGATTTCTAGTCTCTTTTAGAGTCTCTTTAAGGCAAGTATCGACGTTGGAATAAAAAGAACATACAAATTTTTATACTTACTAATCGCTATCGTGATAGCTTGCAGTAGCATCAATGGTAATGTATCTTTTAGGCCAAAAAAAGTTTTGGTTACAGGGAAAAAAATTCTATTTTCCATGTATTTTCATATCAGCAGGAAAAATTTCATTGCATTATCAAAAAATTGTATCTAATTTTCTTTCGAACACCAAGTGTTCATTGATTTAGGTGCGAATGTTGATTTGCTTCTTCTTTTTGTTGTTACTTTATGTCTCTCAAATAGGCTAGCGAAAGTGGAAAACCAAAAATCATCCATTCGAAATATATTTGAATTGAGTGTACAAGGCGGCATTGAGACACATTTCCAGTCTTTCCGAGTTTGTTTACCTTGTAATAAGTGCATTTTGAAAAGAGTGCATTATGTCTTTCAATGACACCAACAAATGTAGGACGAGCTCAATAAAACATCTGCAGTTAGAATGAACCCTTAATCGCATGAATAGAATCTGAAAAATTCAAATGACTGCATATTTATTGGATGCGAAGTAATACATTTTATTTTTACTGCGGAAGACTTTGTTTGATGTGTATATAAACAGATCGCTTGCGCATGCATTCACGATCGCCAAAGATTAATAAAAAAAAGAATTGTTCAAATGAAAACAAAACAAAATGATCGGCGTGAAAAACAAGCAATAACATTGTCAGTAGCTCTGACTGAGGCCGGTAAATTTTAAATAAAAATAAACATTTGAGATAAAATTCTTTTGCTGAAATGCGTTCTTTTGGTATTTTTGTCAGAGAAACAATGAGTTCGTAGAAAAAGGCTCGCGCCATTAATCCTGAGTCACATCCAAATATATATATATATATGCCAAATTATTTTCGAGAGTAGTATATGGCACAGATGGAAACGGTCATTCTTTTTCACCATTCCATTTTGATTCAGAAAGGAATTTGAATCAATGGCGCAAACATTGTTGCGGCATCTCTTATAAGAAAATGCAAGGCATTTATTCAATCCGATTGACCAAAAAATACACGGATTTGAAGAAGATTGATCGAATTTCAGTCAAATTGCACAATTTTTGGTAAGTTACCTAAAATGGTAAAAAAATGGCAGAAAAAATTATATGTTCAGCATTTTTCAAACAAAACAAAAAAAAACTTTCACAAAAAATCCAATTGTAAGAAGAAAACATTTTAAAATCAAATCAATTCCAGCTAATGTGAATAGATACGATGTATACAGTATATGCGGTGCATGCAAAAGTGACATCTGTCAAAGTAGTTGCTCGAATAGAGCTCAGTTGTCAAAGAAGAGCGCAACGAACTGTCAAAGCGAAACAAAGCAGCAGCGCCCGTCAGACCAAAAAATGGTTTGTTTATATTCTCTGTTGGGTAGGAGACGTATATATAGTGTTCATTTACATACACCAACAGAAGCGAAAAAAACTTTTTTTGGCACAATACCACACAGCACACACTCTCGTATCTTTTTCAACATACACAATGTGCCAGTGAATGCAGTATTTGTGTACCACCAGTTTGCAGAATATCGGACATAGCACAAAATCGACCGCACACAATAAAATAGCATATTTTGACATAACGAGTGAATAAAAAGAGAATAAAGCATTCAGAAAAGTAAAAAAATTGTTGCGTTTAATCTTGGCCTACACTCGCATGTAGAATAGACTGAATGCGTGTGTAAAGTGTGTGACCGAAAAAAAAGAACTATTGCGCTTGAATCTGTGAATGGTTTCATAATAATCGTCTCTTTCTCGAACATCGAATTGTTAGCAATTAGATATTAATCCGTGGATTCATTCATTCGTGTGTGCTTTGTTTTAAATTTCGGTCGATGTGATTGTTTGCGTGTGACGCGCAACAATTCTAGGTTGACTTCAGTTCTACACCATTTGAAATGCTTTTTTTATTAATAGTAGTTGGTCGTCGCGTGTGAATAGTTGTGAGCATTGTGATTGTTTATTTCTTTTTTTTCTTTTATTGTTTTGTGAACGCTGCGCTTTCGATTGCACCAAGAATTTTAAAACATTATACAAATCGATTTTCGTGCTTATGTAGTTTGTCACACATCAAATTCGAATCACTGAAGAAGACTTTGGCACCCAAATCTAAATTTAATTACAGCGAGACTTAGAGAAATGATTCGATTAAAATTCATTTGAACTTTGTGACGATGATCATTGAACACATAGAATAGGCAACAGTGTGATCACGATTATAAAAACCGACGACCAATAAAATCACTTTATGTAAATTAAGACGAAGAGCAAGTGTTTATTAGTTGCGTGCCAAAGTTCTATTTTACTTATCGTCTTTAATTGAAATGGTTGTGTGTGTTTGTGTATTTGCCAAATGGAAAATGTCAAGAAAGAAAGTGTTGCAATAGAGAAAATAAACGCGAAGCGAATGTGCTTCATTCAATCGAATTATATATGTAGCGACGAAAAATAAAAAGAACAACATTCTAATTGATTAAATGGAACGAGTGTCGTACAAACTATAAAGACTGAAAAGGGCAACAACTTTTATGATCCGCTACAATTTGTACATTATATACAAAATTTTCATTTTTGTGCGAATTTCAGTATTCGTGTGAGTGTGGGTTTTGTTTTGTGCAAAACGCCAGTTGGATGGTCTCCACGGAAACTGATTGTATTTCATTTTATCTGACTGCAAACCCCGTACAGAACACACACACACACACACACACATCATCCGTCAAATTATTAAGTAGAAATAATTGTTCGTGAAAATCAAAATGAGTGAACATTCGAATGAAAATTCATCGGCCGAGGTGAATGTTGAGTCCATAACGGATCAATCACAATCGAGCACGACAACAGCATCAATTGCATCATCATCGCCGGCTTCATCGCTTCAATCACTTTCGATTGCCGCTCAATCAATCGATGACCATTATTCAACCAATCAGAAATTTAAGATTTCTTTCGACAATCCAGAAAGAACCTACTACAGCGGAGACACTATCCGTGGAACTCTTACACTGACAAACAAACAAAAGAAAAAAATTCGAGGTGAGTCATCAAAAATCAGTCCGTTTTGGCCGTTTTGTTTTACATCCGTAAGCACATTTTTCGCATAGTTTCAGTTGATCTTTTGTTTCACTGCGACTGCACAGAAATAACAAAACAAAGCAAGACGCGAATGAAACATCGGAAGTGATCGGAAGTGTTTGCAACAATAATATAAGCCAAGAATAAAAATGCACAAAGCAAACAAAAATTCACCGCAAATATTTATTCAATTTTGTTGTTCTGTTTTTGTTTTCTCTCTTTCGGCATTATTTTTTTTACGATCTCCTCTTCTGCGCACACATTCTCTTTCAACACCGTTTTTATATGCATGCAATCAAAGTTTCAACCGTATGTACACTGTTTGAAAAAGTGTTTCATTTTCATTTATGATACTTTAAATACTTTCTTTTGCACAACGATAGATTCAATTTATTCGAAGAATGTTTGCATCTATTTAAGTTCAATTTCACGTTTCACTGCTTTGCAGCATGTACATACACATTTGGAATGTGTGTGCATGTGCCCACTCAATTTATTGGAAGCAATTTAGATTGTAATGTAATAAAAATATAAATTTTCGATAAAAAAAATTACATCATCGCAAATGCGCATTAAAATGAAGTGCATCAACAATCGATATATTCATTTGAACGTTGCACAATTGACGGATGTTTCACAATTCAAACCACTACGATTACATTTTTAATCAAACACAAAATTATCATCGTCATCAAATGGGCTACTTAAAATTCGATATGAAAATCAAGTCACAAACGAGCTTCTTCGAATCTTTTTATTGCGCATTGACAGCTCACCATATTGACGAAAAAAATGCAACGACTATTAACGAGTTTTCTCGTTCTCATTATTTTCTTTATATATGACATGGATTGCGAAATGTAGTAATTGAGTAAATAAATCTGTAAATAAATAAATCATGATAAATTCGGTGACTGACCCTTTTCAAAGATATTTACTGTGTTGCATTTGTTCATTCGTTGAGAAACAGTTAATTGATATGAATCGAATTGATTGTTTTTGGCTAGCGATTGCAACACAAGAATTTAACACAATGAACGTCTGATGCCGTTATTAAATCTGAAATTAACTTATTTTTTATCAATTTTGTATCATTGGTAGGAATTTATTTTCGAATCATCGGCTATGGAAAGGTTCGTTGGTCAGATTTGTTACGACGTGATTCAGTTGCAACTGATGGCAAAGGTGAGCGGTCGGCCATTACATATTGCACTGGCAACGAAGAGTATATCAATACAACGATGTACATTGTTGGTTCGAAAAATGGTAATTGATACATTAGTCATTTAAATTAATTCATATTAATGCGGTGACAGTTTCTTCTAGGAACCCTTTATTCGTCATTCAATTAATTCCAATTGGTTTTTTTTCTCTCGTCATTCAATTAGGTCCGTCGTTCACATTACCGGAAGGTATAACGAGCTATGACTTTTCATTCAATCTAAAAACGGAGCTGCCGTCATCGTTCGCCGGTGGTAGTGGCAAAATCAAATACAAAATGGAATTTGTGGTTGACAAACCATGGAAATTTGATGAAAAGCAAACAATTGTATTGAATATTGTTCAAACAGTGAATTTGAACCATTCGCTGAGCACTCTGCGACCGTTTGAACATCAATTAACCAGAACTATTGGATACATTGGTTCTGGTCCGATAAGTTTGCACATTTACTTGCAAAAATGTGGTTACGTTTCAGGGGAACGTATACCGATACAGGTATGTAATTAATTAACACCGTAAATTATCATCTCAAAGAATATATTCACACAATTTTCATTTTTTATATATATATATATCTGTTACAGGCCATTGTCACAAATCATAGTAAAGTGCATGTTGAAAAATTGAAATTTGCACTGAACAAAATCGTCGATTACCACAGTAAATCACCTGGATTGGCGGTCAAACGTGAAATTCATCGATTGTTAAAGAAAGAGGCGGGCGGTGTTAGTAAGAAAACTGAGCAGAGATATGAGCATATGATCGATGTGCCAACGACAATACCAACTCAAGATTCAAAGACAAGCCGTTTGATTCACATCAAGTATGAGCTGAAAGTGGAAGCTAAACTGAGCGGACTATATAAGAATCTCATGATTTCGGTGCCTATTACCGTGGGCAATATACCGCATTCGATAAGTGATCGACCGCAAGCAGTTTTTCCACAACTGCCGGATTTACCACCCGGTTTAAGTGTGCGATTACCATCGGCATATCCGATTGATTTTGATGTTCGTCGCCTAAGTATGTCTTCAAATTCGAGCTTCCGCGTAGTATCTCATTCGTCACAAAGTGATAGCAATGCATCATCGTTGCGGTCGTCAATGTACGATCAATCGACCTCGTCGATGCTAAGCGTGCCAAATTCATCATATGCATCAGCACACAATGCCAATCTATCGACATCAACACAAAACCTATCTACGGGTAGTGAATTCCAACCGTCTGCACCGCCAATGGATCTCAATTCAACGCCAATTCGACCAGCTTCGGTTTATATGGATGCACCGCCATCTTATGATGACGTCTTTGGCACACCATCTACATCATTCAATCAAACAAACTTCTCCAATTCATCACTATACAATCCGTCAATTGCAAAAACATAATGTCGATACGATTTAGAGAATTGATTTGGCGTTTTATTCATTTGACGCATTAGAACCAAATGAAAATAGTGATTTTCTGCAACTTTTCCCTTCTCAACTAGAGAGAGAAAGAGAGAGAAAGAGAGAAAAGAGTCCAGTTAATATAGCAAAAAAAAGAGAATAGAACAGTACTTGCTTAGCGAATATAGTTACACAAATGTATGACCATATATTTAAATGATATTTATACATTGTAGCCAAGTTATGATCATTTATAAGTTCTTGGTATCGTTTCGTTTTTTTTTATTCAATGACCATAGTGAACAATATTGTATTTTGAACAGAATTATATTTAAAATACTTAGCGACCTTAACACTTAAACTACACGCTTCCATATTAAAAACGTTCTAGCATCACTGTGGTACATGAGTTGATCTCTTGCCATATAAATTTGTCACATTTAACCCCATATCATTTGCAAGCGCAAAATTGTAATTTAAGATAATCAAAGTTCTTTACATGAATCGATCTATTTCACAATTTGATATCGATCGATAAATTGAACTCCCACAAAACCGTTTTAAACAACGATAAGTTGAATACTCGTTTTTTATTGAAAAATATACTCGCCAAATCGAGTGAAAAGAAAAGAAAAAAGAAAGATCACGACATTTCATCATATCAAGCGCAAATACATGTAAAAGTCCATGAATTCAAAGACTAATTTTTTTATGATTTCATTTTTGTCATTACAAATCGCTTAATCAAATTGTGTTTCATCCATAAGAATTTCATCAAACCATTATTGTACGTATTATTTTTATTTTTTGTTAAAACTTTTTGAATTTTTTTAATTTAATTTTTATTTTTTTGTTCAATTAAACATTGAATTTTTTGCAAAGAAAAAGAAACAAAAAATGCAGTTCTACATTTATTATTTCATCCATGACAAATTGGAATAAGAGTGAACGATTGAAATTAAATGAAACTGCCTTTTTTTATGCTATTTGAAAATCTGGTATATGCCAAAATAAAATAGTGAAATTTTGTGTTAGACATTTAGGGAAAGACAATTGTAGAATTTAAAAATATTTCTGCTTATTGCGTTTTGCTTAGCGTCAAATCAATTTAAAAGAGGACTTCCTTTTTTTCGTTTTAAAAATGAATTAAATAAAATTTGTACAGAAAAATAAAAAATATGTTTTTTTTCTTATTGCATTTCTTCTAAATAGTAGCAGAGATTCTTACAAAAGAATGACTTGGAATAAGACACACAGAAAGTTTATAATGTGCATATAAAAATAGTTCTGGTTTTTGTTTTGGACAAACAACCGTAAGTGTTGTGTTTACTGACAGAGTATATCATCTTTACTTATTGCAATGGAAAAAAGCGCTAGAAACAACAAAACAAATAATTACTGTTATTTCGACGTAAATTTCGGTTGAATTGCAATAATTAACGTCGAAAGTCCGGTATTTGGATATATACTAGTGCTATGGTGTGCAATAAAACAGCTGCTCGATACTTTCTACGTATTTTGTTTGTTATGTATATTACGTTGATTTTTATTCGAGACATAACGTTATTAATATGTAAAATTAACTGTGTTTCGTTGTCCACATAAAGCATACACACACTTCGATTGAACTGAATGTGTCGTTGTGATTTCGGGTTTTCTGTCGTCTTATTTTTCTCATCAAGCTACTGTGAAGTTGTTCAGGCCACCAACACAATCTTTTTTTTTACTCCCTCTCTTGCTTTCTTATAATATTTTACCTACATTCAACATATGTACGACTGATGTGCGTTCAAAGCGACATAAAAAATGGTGTGCTTGGACTGTGAATGTATTTATTTTTAGATTTGTTGTTGTGTATCATTTGTTATTTATGCATATGATCTGTAATCGAACGCCTTATTTATCTAGTAATTTAGTTGTTCACGCGTGCAATAGCGACGGACACTCGGTCTCAGCTCCAGAGCAGTTGTTAAATTAATTTCTTTATTAGTCGTTGGTCGCCTGTGAATGGTTAAAGTTGTGATTGCGAATTGCGCATTTAATTTTTTTTTTTTTGTGAATTGACAATTGAAATGAAATTCCAAGAAAAATCAACGATTGAACAAGAATCAACGATGGAGTTATCGGTCGATCAAAAAACGGATAAACTTAAAATCGTATTGGACCATGCCAATAATACATATCATTCATCACACACAATTCATGGTACCATATTTTTCCCAGAGAATTACACAGAAATTCGTGGTAAGTTTGTATTGTGGGTTTTTTACGCTCACAAAGCCATTTTCAAGTGGCGTCATATTTCAGTGCAAAAACAGGTAAAAAAAGAATGATAAAACGTACTTGGGAGTGTCGTGCTATACATCAAAGTCATATAAAAGTAATTCATAAAAATGCTACCTTTGTTCTCTTAAAGGTAAAAAAGAATTATTTATATTATTATCGGTCAGAAATTCAAGTTCATCCATCCCATGTATGGGTTGGCCTCCGAAATTATAATTAAAAAAAATTGGACCATAAAAGTGTTTATCAGATACTTGGATTAAACTCGAAAGAATTTTCATAGTAAGAAAATTTGTGTTTGTGCCATATTTAAATGTTGAATATTTGTTCAATAGGTGTATTTTTCCACTTCATTGGCACCAGCAGAGTTGGCTGGACCGAACTTTTAATTCGCGAATCGAAACCAGTTGAAGGCAAGAAAGAAACATCCGATTCCAGATATTATGGAAGAGAAGAACACTTGGCTCCAGTTAAATATATCATCGGCTCAAAAGGCGGTAAGCATGAACATTTGTTTGAAATCGATGACGCATTCGTTGTGCAAACGGTGTAAACCACACAAACTATCTAAACATTGGGAAGAAACAAAGAGAAATGCAAAACTCGTTTATGAATGTGAGTCACTGACTTACCGCTCGTGTACATACATGATTTCTTATATTACATCAAACCTTGGCACTGCTTTATTGTCAGAATGAACTTTACAATGCATCAATTATGATTGAATTGAATTGTTTTTTTTGTGACTCAGATAATAATTATTGATATTTTTTTTTAAATCTATATTTAGGTGGCTTTTTCACGCCGGAAAGAAGCTATCGATTTTCATTCGAATTAAAAACGGATTTACCATCTACGTTTGCGAGTGACTGTGGTGAAATCAAGTATAAAATGAAGTTTGTGGTTGACAAACGATGGTTCAATGAGAAGCAGAAAATTCCATTGCACATTATTCGATCCGTAAATTTGAATTTTATACCAGACACGCTGCAACCGTTTGAACTTCAATTGACGAAAAATTACGGATATCTAACCAGTTCAGGTCCAATCAGTTTACATGTTTCAATACCAAAGCGTGGATTTGTGCTCGGAGATAAAATTCTAATTAAGGTAATTGTTTTTTTTTGTGACTCGGATCGATTAACATTTTTATTGCAAAATCAATTTGAAACTTTTTTTAAAATAATTGTTTGCATTTTTCTGCTATATAGGCAACAGTGTGCAATTCCAGTAAAATAAACGTTGAAAAAGTGAAATACTACTTGAATCAAATCATTGAATACCATAGCACTGCACCGAGTGAACGAATTAAAACGGAAAACAAACGTTTGTTGAAGAAGGAAATCGATGGCATTTGCAAACAATCAGAAATGGAAAATGATCTAGTCATTGATGTGCCGGAAAATCTACCACCAACACAAGATAAATCGATTAGCCGTTTAATTTTGATAAAATATGAAGTGAAAGTTGAGGCAAAAATTGGCGGCATCCATAAAAGTCTAGTCATCACAACTCCAATCACCATTGGCACAATACCACATACCATCAATAGCCGGCCACTCACCATATGCAATGCACCAAATTTACCAAACGAAACGCCATTTATTTTGGGTGCAATGGGAACACAAGTAGATGTTGGTTCAATATTCCCAAACCTAAGCCAAGAGATGAATTTATCACAAAACCAAAATTTACAATTAAGCGATAGATCTTCAATTCAGTTACGAATGTATCCAAGTCCGATAATTGGCTTTCTACCAAATGAATCAATGGAGTCACAACTCAATCGACTTTCACTTTTGTCACACAATTCATTCGCAAACATACCATATCAACAACCAACCGCTCCGCCGCCGGACTTCAACGCAGGCTCGCCGATTCGACCAGTTTCGCAATTCATTGTGAATTCACCAGATCGACCACCATCGTATCAACAAGCATGCTTTCCAACACAAATGAATTATGCAACCTCATCTCCATTACAAGAAACGTCGAATAAAATTTGAGATGAATACAATAAATAATAATCAAAAATGAAATATTGCTGATCATGTTAATGACATTAAAATACTGTTATTTTTTACATTGGATAATTTTATAGTTTTATTGAACTCAGAACAAAACTGTTGATTTAACGAAACATCTCGTTTTACATTAGTTGCGTAATATTTTTTTATTCATTTCCCATTGGCAGGAATTAAAGTGAATGTTTCATTCGTTCTAATTTTATGTTTAGATTTTGAAAATACTGATTGAATACTATAAATGCTCAAGAACATTAGATTCAGTGTATGACATAGAACTAGGCATGGCTTTCAATTCAACATGCGTTTGGTTAAGTTGTATTCTTAATTTTTTCATTTTTCCAAACGCACCTTGAATTGCTTAATTAGGTGAATTGATTTTGAAAGAAATGTAATCAAATATGTAAAATAAAGTAAATATTGTCAAAAATGGTTAAATTGTTTTGATGTGTTGTTCGGTCTAAAGTAGGCCTTCGGCTTTCAGAGTTTGAATGATTTTATCAGCTTTGACCAATGCGTCTTCGCCGGTGTAAATGACCTCATTGAAAACCATATTCTTGTATGGCTCAATCAATGCCTTCAATCGGCTGACCTGCTTCGGTTGAAGTTCATTCGGTAAACCTAAAAATGATATGGATTTTTTGTGAGAATTTTTCTTAAAACTTTGTCCACATTAAACATGATTCAATTTCTTACCGTCAATGAAACACAATGATGTTATGCACGGGAAGAAATATGCCTCCTCCAATTCGCGAATCCGTTCCTTCTGCACGGTTTCCATGCTTCCATAATCAATGTACAACAGATTGTATTTTCCTTCGCTGGTTTTTGATTGGGAGATTGCACGATACCAACGATCATCTTCCAAGCATTTCGCCAAACATACCTCGTGATCACTAAAAAAGAATCCAAATAAAAAATATTTGAATTTGTCTTTGTTAGAAAAATTGTCTTTTTTTGGACGCTCACGTTGGGCAGAATGGTAATCCTCCTTCGAATTCAGCTGCACGGTCATTTATGAGGTTATCATTTTCGGTGAGCAAATTTACATCAGATGCTTTAATAGCACTGAAGCAGCCAATATGCATTAAACTATTGTCGAGTATGAACAATTGCACGTTTTTGCCGGAGAAACCTTTATATTCCATTTGCTAATTGTAAACAAATCAAATCAAAATATCATTCATTGTTATTAAAAAAAAAAACATGTATGTGTAGTTATACCTTTCGGACGGGCATTTTCGGTGCTTCGGCTGGAATGTCGATGTTTTCCACCTTTTTTTGTTGTTCAACGGTGCCCAGTTCTTTGAGTGTTTCATTGAGCACAGTGTATGTTACCGCATCGATGAGTATTGCACGGCAATGAATGGAAATATTTGTTTTTTCGATCAAATCCATTTGTTTGACAATCAATTCTTGTGCATTCTCTTGCAGTGACATCAAGTGACAAACGGCTACCTCGGAATTTTCCATGCTCTCTGGCATACCCTGAAGTGTAACCATATTCACCAAACGTTGTTCGTTTACCAATTCTTCGGACAAACATTTCAGTTCAGAAAAATCAAATGCTTCGACGAATCCATATTCGAGGAATTCAACCTGAGCCTTTTCGTCCTTCATACGAATGCGTCGTACAATGGCACGTAACCAATGTTCACTTGATTTTGGTTTGGCCAATACAATGTAACCTTGTTCAGGTGGTTTTGATAGAGCTTTTGCTTCACTAGCATATTGATTTACACGTTGGATCAATTTATTCCATTGGTCAAGCATACATTTTGGTACAACGTAGACCGTATGATGGCTTTCAACGTGAACAATGACGACATTGATTTTTGGTGTGATTGCATGAACCGATGGTTTGAAATTTTTTTGCTTTTTCGGTGGTGGAACAATAACCGCTTTTGGTGTGGTTTCAATAGGTGTGACTGATGCCGTTTCGACTGGTTTCACCGTATTTACCGTTGTGATATTTTCGTTTTCATCAATCGTTCTGACGGTATTTTTGATGACCGTTCCGGTGGTGGATTTGGTTGGCGTGGTGGGTGGTGTGCTCATAACCTCATTAATACCTGATGATTTCGTTTTCATCAAATTCGATTGGACTTTTGCCGCACCATTAATATCCATTTGGTTCAGATTTTTTGTCAACTTTGCCACTTCCTCCTTTGTCATTTGACCACAATCACCTTGTACGGAACTTTCTGATACACTAGCAAAAGCATCGGTTGCATCATAACTGTGTGCGCTTACATTGACATTTGATGCCATCAACATTCGATTCATCATTGGTAATTGTTGTACATTACTGATATCCGTTCGGTGCAAAAGTCGACTGTTTAAGATCAAAACACATTTTTTTTAGCATGACTATTTTTGATGCAACGAAAAAAAAAATGATTTGAATTCTAAGAAACTTACGGGATTGGCATGCAAATTCGACGATGTTCTCGCCAATCGCTGACTTGACACATTTTTGAGCAATATGTTTCTCCGCACCGTTCACAACTTAAATCAGCCAATTTTGCACAAACTGCACATTCATGCGTTACCGGTAGGTATCTTTTCGGTAACATCTTCGATTGTATTTGAAATACACTTTAATCAAATTATATACCAGAAATTGATCGACAAAAAATTTGGTATCGAAATAATTGCGCAACAAAAAACACGTGAAAATGTCGACTCGGTGTGCACACTTTTGAATATGGCGTCCAAATGAACGAGATTATCGTTTGGGTGATGCGATCTACCACTGTATTCGAAATCGGTATAACGGACAATGCTGTGTGCACCCTGAAGTGCATTGGAGGAAAGAGAACGGCAACATCAAAAGGGTTTCAGAGTGAGTGGCAACATTTCAATACACTTGCATATTTCGTTTCAGATTTTAAGACTTATGAATATGGCGGCATTTGTGCTCAACACACACTTTGTCAGGCATTTTCCGTACAATCTATAATTTTTGTTTACATTCTTTTGAACAAAATAAGCGATTTTTCCCAACTTATAACGAAAAAAGGCTATTTTATGATTCATGAAATCAATTCTTCGAAAAGACGATTTTTCGGTGACGAAATTCATCTGTTGATTCACTCAATCAACGATAATTTTCAAATCAAAATTAGCATCGAAGAAATCCTCATAACAGTGAATAGCAATGAATAATCAAAAGGTCAAGACAATATACAATTGACAATTAATATAAATTGAATATGCGTGAGCAAAAAATTCTGTCTACGTCGTATATATTTGTGTGTATAGCATAGCGCATAATTTAAAATTAACCTATATATGTATCGACGTTAATATCATTCGCATTCCACGAATATTTGTTGGGCCGGTGCAAAGCTGGCAAATTGCCGCATCGAAAACCACAGAATAGACATGTGCGTTGACAACGCAACGCTTTTGTATTTGACGTTTCACTCAATGCGGTAGCAACAGACGCGTTTATGTGTGCGATCTATAGGAATGCTTTCGACTTGACATACACATAAACAGTATGTTATTTAAAACAGAAAAAAAGGCGAGATAGTGTGTATGTGCGGCACAAACATTAGTGCTCTTTTTAGAAAACACTTTCAATACGAATTTCAAAATCAACTCGTTCAACAATACAAATTCGCTTCAGTGTGCCTTCAGAATTGGTAGACATTTACCTTCCTATTCAACCTAGGTTTTTGTGTTTTTTTTTTGTTCATCTTTTTGTACCGATTGGGTGTGTGTTTTTTTTCCTCTTCATTGTTTTTATATTATACGAATCAATAAATTGTAAGTTTGGTTATTGAAACTATGTTTTCACATCGATTTCATTCGGAAGTAATTCTCATCTGAGTTTGACAGATTATATTTCAAGTGTAAATATTTCGTGCAACATAATTGTTGGTGGTGCATAAAAATAGACATTGATTTTGGCATGATATTTTTGTCGCTAAAATAATGTGACAATTCTATTAAATTTTGTATATTTTGAATAAATGTCTATGTGTCATTTGTTTAATGCGTTTGCATAAGTGGAAAATTTTGTATGCCATTCCAATAAGAATCGCTTAGCATCCACATCTAATCAGCTGACACTTCTTCGCTCGTTGATTCATTACATACTATGTATATATATTGATTATGATATAATTTCATTTTGTCCAATAGTATTATGTTTTGGTATGTATTACTTTTTGACATAAGAATTTCAATGCGTGCGTTTTTACAGATCACCGAAGTTGGGATGTTCAGTGTTGCGTCGGCATACGAGTGATGACGTCATAAAATACATTTATCAAATACGAATATATAAATAGTATATATAACTGTGTGGCATAACAAACAACGAGACAACATTCTTTTTTATTCAGCGCAAACATCGGCATTTCAAACCAATACTCCAGTCAAGCAAGGTGCCCGTTTCATTTTACATTCAAGGCTCTTCCAATTTCGATAAGTTTTTTTTTCCTACAATTGAACAACAACAAAAAATTGTGTGAACAAATTAACAATGGGTTTGCAAAATTGTGAAATTACGTTGGACAATCCATGGAATACATACTATGCAGGTCAGACGCTAAATGGTCAAGTCAAACTGCAACTCAACTCGCCGAAAAACATTAGAGGTAACAATTTTTGGATTTATTTTTTTTAGTGTTGAACAAATTTAAAATGTCGAATTTTTCGATCGCAAAAATAGAATTTAAAAAGACCTTAGAAAAAGTATAAAAGTACAGTTGTAAAAAGTGACGGTCATCAGATTGTTAAGATATAAAATTCAATTGTTTTTTGTTTTTTTTTGTTGATGGTGACTCAGATGCGGTTTATTTACTGATAAATTACACGACATGTTTAAAAACAGACTTCATTTTTGATTAAATATACATGTGTGTTTTCTGTATTTTCCCATGCAATCCAGAACTTGGGGTGAAAAGAATGTTTTAATTTGAAATAAAATGTGTCTTTTTTTTAATATTTTCGGTTTCTATTGTGGCAAATTATTTCAATTAAAAGCGATGTATTTCAAGTTCTCGATCTATTCATTGCATGAGAAATGATATTTATAAATATCAGTGTTTCGTTTTTGTTTTCATCAAGAATCACATAATAAAATTGTGCCAAAAAGAATCAGCATATTTCCTGTATAAAATGGGTGTTGAATAGATTTAAAAGAAACTGTCAAATGAATTGTCGTTGTCCACTTGAAATCCGGAGTAATATGTGAGAATGGCACAATCGGTAGGTGGGCTAGCTTTCAAGTCATAATTGCCCATCGTATATTTTCTCAAATCCCATGCTTTCACATTTTTGCCATTCACCATATATGTGCCCGGAATAACGGATGCAATCAATTGATTACTTCGATCACGTACTTCGACCAATGGAATCTCTTCCCCGTCAACAAATTTAGATGAACCGGTGCACAAATTGTAATAGGTAGATGTGCTTGATTGTTCACTGCTCATCGCCAATGATGATCCCCTTTGAATGCATGCATGCATGTCAGCATCGCAAACCGTTTGAAACACTAAAAATAATTAAAAATATTTAATTTATCCAAATTATAAGCGCTTTTAAGAAATTCGAAACTAACCGCTTTGAACACTTGGCATTGGACTAAAAAATGTTGAAAACATGTTTGAAAACTCCATTAGTCTACCCTGTGATCGATCGATTGTGGTGCACACAATCACCGCTATTGTTAACAGACTTGTTTTCATTTTATTTCACTTTCGAGTTTCACAATTCAATATCGCCGTTTATAACCAGTCAATTCCAAGTATAATGACAAATTGGACTGCTCTCGCATTCGATTGGTGAATTTATAGTGTGATGGAGGGATGGAATTCCTGCCAAATGGTTTCAATGGAAAAACCAATATCAATATATATATTTTTGATGAATTTTTATTAAGTTCTTTTGGTTAGATACAAGTCACGCCATTCTGTATTCATTTCATATGGCACATTCAAAAACAATAATGAACATTTTGCAAAAGCAAAAAAAAAGTGTCATTAATTGTCTTGAATTCATCAGGCATCTAATACGCAGTACATAGAAATATTTATTTAATGCAAGTTATTCAGTTGCAAGTAATATATGGTGGGTAGAAAAAATTGTCTGATCTTAAAGAATCTTATATTAATTTCCTTCGACAACAAAAACAAAAATAGCCTCGTTATTTACAACATTTTTCCGCTTTTTTGCTTAATAATAATAGAAATTGTCTTGCTTTTCTATTGCTTTCAGGCATCATCGTTCGTTTTCTCGGTGAAGCAAATACAAAATGGAGTGAGACAAAAAAAGTTCGCGATGATCAAGGTAAATTTCTTTCACTCACAATCTTCCATCGTATTTTCTTAACGCGTCATTTTTTTTTGTTTCATTTGTGATTATCTCAATCAGGTAAAGAGGTTGACGAAACTGAAGAATTAACCGGCCATGAAGAATATTTTGAAAACCATTATTATTTGTTGGGAGCCAAAAATGGATCGGAAATTAATTTGCCGTCTGGTGAACATACTTATCCATTTTCGTGCGTTTTACCTGGAAATCTTCCATCATCATACGAAGGTATTGTTTTTAGGATTAACATTTATTTACTCTGAGAGTTTATGTTTCTTTTGATGGGTTTGTTTGTTTCGATTTCATTATAAAAAGGTGAATTCGGTCATGTCCGTTACACCATAAAAGTAACACTAGATCGTCCATGGAAATTCGATCAGGACACGAAAATGGCTTTCACCATCATTTCACCATTGGATTTGAATCAAAATGCTCGTCTCAAGGTAAACCAATATTTTTAAATATAATCCGATTGGTTTTTATGACGATTCAATTTTTAAATCTACTTGTGTAGGAGCCAATGGCGTTGAATCTCGAAAAATCATTCTGTTGTTTTTGCTGCAAATCGGGCCCATTAAAAGCAGAAGTGATTATTCCGTGTGGAGGTAAAATATATTTAGAAAAAAAAGTCTGATCTTAAATAATATCATATTAATTTCTCTTGACAACAAAAACAAAAAATAGGCTATGTTCCTGGCCAATCAATTCCAATTACAGCCGATATTACCAACGGTAAATCTAAATTTTGTTAGCATTTCTTTTGAAAGATAAGCTATTTTTAGCGTTTCATTTTTTTTTTTTGTGGTTTACAAAACAGCGAGCAATGTAAAGGTCGAGCGATTACGCGTAATTCTACGTAAAACTGTCGTTTTCAAAACAAATCATCCCCGCCGTGATTTGAAAAAAGAGAAAACAACAATTTCTGAAATTTCTGTCGGTCCAGTTGAAGAGCACAGTTCCAAGAATTGGCAGCAAAACATTGAAATTCCACCATTGCCACCATCCAATTTGATTAACTGCGGCATCATTGATTTGGATTATGAATTGAAGGTAACTGTAAAAGAAATTGAGAAGGAGGATTAAATGCCACATTTCTTAAGAATTGTTTTTTTTTTTCGTTTCGGTTATCTTATTTACCTTGAAAATCTATCTAATTAATAATTTCGTAATTGTTTATCGCATAAGATTGAGTTGAATGTATCGGGTGCTCATCGCGACTTAGAGGGCAAATTGCCGATAACCTTGGGAACGATCCCACTGGCAACCACTCAGTTGCCCAATAAAGATGTGCCACAACAACAACCAACGGTTCCAATCCAAGATCCATCACAGGCACCCACACAGCCAGTTAGTCCGAGTAGTCCAGGTGACGCAGTTGGTTGGAATCTCTACCCATCAATTCGTAAGTATTGTTTACACAATTCATTGAAGAAGAAAAAAACCCCGATATTTACTTGTATCTTCAATTAGCACCACCATCCTACGGCGAGTCCGAATATCGTGCCAATATTGTGGACAAAAATGATTCACAACATACTCGAGTTTCTGGTGGCCAGAATGATTTTGCTCCGCGATATCCGGTTTATGCCTCAGCCCCAACTCTTCCAAATGTCCAGAATTAAAGAGGCCCACGATATATTTCTATTTCTCAATCCACCACAACGACCAATTTTAATCAACTTAAATCAATAAACATTTGCAGCTTAAATACGAAGAAAACGATTTCAATGATAACAATACACACACCGAAAATAAATTGATATTTTAAGATAGTAGAAAGGAATTGATCGAATTGATAAGAAATCAATTACTGAGAAATTCTGTGGCCTACACACCCACGCACACACCAATCAATTCCAATATAAAAGAATAATCCTAAACAGACATCGCGCGCACAAATGTTTTTTCGGGTGGCTTCACTTTAAAGAAAACAATTCAATTGAATTCGATAATGTGCTTTAAAGATATTTTTCTGAAATCTTAAAATATACCAGACGTATCCTTTTACAAATATTGCGTATAGATAATCGGATTACGTTTTTATGTAATTATTGTGGCAAATTACAAGCTTTTCGTGTAATTTCTTCTTTGATTTTATTGGGAGGGAGTTTTTATGTCAACATTTTTTTGTACAATCCACAGGATATTCAAATATAGCTTTGTTATTCTAATTTTAAAATGATGATGGTTTTCAGTTTTTTCAATCATTTTACCCAAAATCCATCTCTAATTTTTACATACATAAATAATTTAATTTTCACTTTTAGCTCCATTTGAATTCCATTCCATTTATTTTGATTTCTAAAATCCATACATATAATATATATTTCAACCGTGTTTATTACATGGAACATATGATATAACGAAAAAAAAGTAGAAAGTGAATATATTATGTATTTGAATACATATGTCTATGTTTGTGATAAACTTTCAACATTATAGTTTCGCTTGGTTCACGCTAGAGGGTGCGGCGTATCAACTGAGCAATTTTTTTAAATTTTTTTAACAAATATCGAAAAGAAATATTCCATTGCAAACATTATTTTGTATTATGACATGAATTTATATCTACTAAAAATATTTTGATCACAAAACACTGTACTCAGTGCTAATAAGTGTTAATCAAACAAATGTAACGAAATTTCTGTTCGAAATTCATAATAAATATTCTATGGAATCTTATTCGTTAAAATTCAAATTATCCAAAAAAAGTTTTCTTCATTTTATTGTTATTAAACAGAGCGCTTTTTTCTTTGTTTATTTCGAAATCAAGTGAGAGAGATTTGTTGTAACCCTAGTTGTAACCACTTTACTAGAATGCCCTTTAAAATCACATGAAACAGAAATCACGGGAAAAAGTAATACCGTTTTCGAATTTAGTCAAAAAGGAAAAGAAATTTAATAAACGACTAGAGCTATTTCTGTCTGTTAAAGGTAATTAAGTAGAATTTAATTTAAGATTTAGAAGTGGTTAAATCGAATAAAGTTAATTGCTTTTCATAAAAAAAGATTAAATCTACCACAGTTTGGTTACGATATATCATGGACTCTCACCAATTTTACTTCGTCTTTGTATATAGACATTAGTCAACTTGCAGGCGTTTTTTTTACATTGTAGCAATGAGAGTAATCTTTTTGGCTTCATTAAAAAAACTTTTTATTATTTCGATAAATATGACTTGCATTGATATGAAATTGTTTTAATCGAAATTCATCGATAAAAATTGGGAGTCGTCAATCATTTCATTTCTCGAACATTGTGCGAAAATTGTTTATGTTCGAATGTGATTCTCTAGCAAGTGCAGCAATGTTGCATTGTAAAGTGTATCGATAAATAATTCAACCTCATTCTTGCTTAATTAGATTTGAGCCGAAATGCATTGCACAATGGGAATAGCATCCAAGTTCATAAAATAAAATGACACGAATCGATAATTGGGTAAAATTCATTTTTGGTCAGTTTAATATGGTTTGTAAGCGTGAACGTATTTCCACATGAAAATAACACTAAAGCAACCAAAAAAAAAAAAAAAAAGAAATAACATGGCCGATTACAATCGACACATGTAGTAATTTAATAATGGCACATAATTACGGCGTATAAAAATCCACCATTCGATTGGATATAAAAATTTACATTAAAAGTGCCAAAGTAACTCAAAATTAAAAGTGACGCAAAATGCTTATTTTGGAGAAGGCGTGATTGATTTTTTTTTTGTGTTTGTGGTTTTATGTTGATTGCGGTGAAAAGGTAAATCGTATCCAATTCGATAGCGCGTTTTGTTAGCACTTCTTTTGATACACACGTTATTTTTGGCGATTCATTTTTTTGTATTTTACAAAGCAGCGGGTACAGAGGCACACATTGAAAGCGAGATAAAAAAAGAGTCTGAAGATTGGTCGGTCGCCCGAAAAGCAGAGATTGGTTTTATCGATCAGCACAGCGCCTACGTAAACCAAAATTAACACTTGTATACACGTTTCGTGTATTTCGGTAGTAAACTTTTATGACATAAAATCGAGAGAATCGTTGCGCATCGATGGAAACCTTTCGGAATTGCTTGATGACAATGTGACAGTAATTTTTCAATTAATGACAAACTTCATGGCCAATTACAATAATGCCAATCGATCTCGTTAATATCAATTTAAAGAAAGGCTCTCGTCGCCGTTTTGAACACTGTTTTGTTTGGTCGCTTTTCTTGGGAGAATGAATTCGTTGTGGCGAATGGAATTGAGTTCTCACAATTTCGCAATGAAATAGCTATAAATTGATGCCCTTCGTTTAACCTCTGCATTTGAAAATGTGGATTATTTATATATCGAGTGTGTTTGCAAACAAGCGCTTGATTCGATATGATTTTGAAGTCACCAATTGAACACCAAATTTCTGTTGTATTATGCTTTCAAACAAGTAACTGCCGGGCAAAGTAAGCATTTGGCAAATGCGCTTTTAACAATGCAAAACTATCCATTGCCATAGGCTATCTGATCACGAACTAGTACAAACAATGCACAATTTTCCATTCCTTGTGTGTGCCTTGTGCTGTGCCACAATCATTGTTTTTTTCTCTCTAATTCCAAGTAAATCACAATGAACCCATGTCACCGGAGCATCGATTTCGTTTTAACACTTTGAATAAAAATGTTATTGCCAACAACTATTTCTGTGCATAAAAGACAATGGAATTTCAATGGTAATGCTGCAGGGAGCTTGATCATTTCAACAATAACAACGATTATGGAGTTTGAATCAGTTTATCGTGTTCAACTTTCTGAATATGAACAATTTCATCTTGATTAAGAATGGATTTTTTCTCAAAAAAATTATTGGACGTTTTTTTTTGTAATCAATTTGTCAAAGAGAACAGACGATTCACCTGAATGAGTCTTCGTTAATTGATTTCTTTGAAAAGAATGGTCATTGACAAAAATGGTCTGGGCTACTGAATTTAATCAATACCAAAGCATCGCGTGTGGCACCAAGATTTTAAACAAAACGATTCAACAAGACAAATTGAGTGTTTTTCGTCAGTGAATGGTGTCCTAAAAAAACCAATCCCATTAAACATTTATTCGAATTGAGTTATTTAGCCATTTTGAATGTCATAAAATCAATTTGATTGATCCACATGTGTGTTATTACAATCGATCACGAATTATTGTCTAATATTTTGATTGAAGCAATTGTATCTAAGCCAGGTAATATATCTAAAAACTTGTACACTTAATCTTGTTTTAGATACATACCTACATCGAGCTATGAAAAAAGGTACAAGGAATCGTAATAAATTGTCTAAAATTGATCGATAAATTGAAATTTATGAAATTTACATAAATCAATTCGACCAAGCGGCGAATCCAATTGTTAAAGGCGCTCAGGTTCACTCTTGTTCATGCCAAAACAAATACAATAATCGAATAATACACAATGTAAAAGAAAACGGAATATATTTATTGCGTTTTGTTTTGGCGAAGCGCCCGCCTTTTCGTTGATAAACCTCTTCGTGTACATTACATGCATGTTTGACAACGAAATTTAAGCAGGCGCACACCAAAACAGTACTCTTTTTTTATTATATTTGGCACTCCAAAATGCATTTCGCGTGGCAATTTTATGCTCGAGCAATTTAAGAGCTGCAATAAATTTGGCTCCATGAAATGAATGAAGTTGTTGGTTGCGCTGCGCGCTCAGAAGAAATTTTCCACTTGTGTAAAGCGACACCATTTAGTGGTATGTACGTTTAATTTTGATAATAATAAAAACGCAATTTACGAACTATTGTTTTGTTTAGTGAACGGTCATTTGGTTTTGGTCGTTTTGCTAAACGAATCATATAGCATAAATCCAAAAGACACTTTATCGGTAAATCCATTGCGATGGGGCTTGATGGATTTCACGGGAATTTTTCTTTTATCGCGATAAATTACAATTATGGAAACCGAACGTGTAAGGACACAAATATTTCGTAAGCTATAAAATATCATTCAGGCGTAAATTGAAGTTTGATTTAATCGTTTCACGCCGAAAATTTACCAATATTGAGTGCATCGAAACCGTTATTATCGCATTGATTCGTGGTATTTACATTCACCAATCACCATGGTTGGTAAATCTTTGATCGAGGGTATTGTGCAATCGTGCTTTAATTTGATTCAAAATAGAATCGAAAAATTCCTACGCACATTCAAAACGATGACTATTGACTATAGGTATCAAATGAACTGCGACAATATTTGACTATCGTTTGGAGTTCTTTTTCAAATCCATTGAGACAATCATTTTCAATATTGAATAAATTCCCGAGTGTGAAAACATACCGAACCATCATTTTTTTTCTTTTGCAAAAAACCCAGAGTGAGCGCATAAGCACATCATCAGTATGTTGCAGCGGCGTGTGTCGTGAGTCATACCATCAGATAGAGCGTTAGATGTGTGCGATTTTCGTTTGAATGCGACAAATGCAACGTGCTTTTTTCGCATTTGATTCGAAGTGGTTTTATATTTTGTTACTATTGCCGTGGCCGTTGCTGCCGTTGTTGTTGTTCTTTGTGAAACAATTACTCTTCCCATTGAGTACAATTGTGATCTTTTTAACATCACACATGAAGCCGCTTTGCTTATCTGTATATAATTTAGTGGTTGAATTCATCGTGTGCGCAGCGCATCAATGAACAATTTCAATTCACAAAATGCACATTTATTTATGAAATCTCCATCTACTTAAAATCCCATTGTTTTTCTCATATCTTGCATCGCGCTCGCGCGCATCATCCGTTTGCTGTGTATTGTGTTTGCCGGTGTGCACACACCGTTAGAGGCACACCGTGCATTTTTCCGTTCCAAAACTTACTACTTACACTATCGTAATCAATAAATTTCAATATTCAATAAATGCGCTTACCTCGTCGAACCAGCACAAATGCATTTCGCCAAACATATTTATGTACTTTGACTGAATTTTTAATGGATTTTGTGAACAGCAAAGGGCAACTAAGACAGTAGTTTGACTTCTGTTTCTTTCATTCTCTCTACAGATTTATCAAAATTACTATGCAAAACAATCTTTTTTCGCATTTATTTGCATCATTTTCATTTGTTGTTTTCTTTTTTTGCAACGAATTACCTGCTGCTGTAGCCAACTGTGTGATCGACTGAAACAAAAAGAGAAGAAGACT